CCCTCCTAACATCAATGGTATCTCGAATTCAAATAATACAGCAAAATGTCTTTGTCCAAAAATCATTTGTCCACTGCCATAGGTCCTGGATAGTCACTGTAAGAGCAAGACCAAGACCAACCCTCTTTAAAAATCCAACAAATCCAGTTACGTAACCCGTTACGCACTCCATAAACGCATACCAGCCTTAATGGACTAAATGACAAAAATCCTGAACTATATTCGCGCGTGTCGTTGACTTATCCGGCGATAAAGCTCTTTGTAGCGGGCGTTACCGGATGAAACGGACGGAACGTAGTTCATCGTACGGTTTATATACGGTTCGCAACGTGTCAAGGATCCTCGCGCGGGGGGGAAGGTTCTCGTTTGTAATCGAGTACCGTGGCGTATGGTATCTGGTTTCATAGTTTTAGGTGCTAAAACGTATATGCAACTCTCCCGTCCAGTTAATTGCATCCTCAAAGAAAGAGAAACCCAGGCGTTTTACTGTCCACTCGATTCAGATACATAACTCGTTCGTAATTTATCGTCTGATCGGCTGGTTCAAGATATATATCGTGGTCACCCGGCGTGATTAACACCCGATCCCCGGGTGAGCAACGAGGAAAACTGCGTTCGCCCAGCCCAACCCAGTAGTCGACGATTAATTCCCATAGGAAATTATAAGTTTAAAAGGTGGTAGAGAGGGAGGGGGCCGATTGTAACGTGCCACTTAAAGGCCGAAATTATTGGAGGCCTATTTAGCGTTAATTGGATCGTTTGTCAGCCGAGACAATAAGGAAATACATAATTAACGGATATCGAAAACGCGTATTTCGCAGACGGTGATCTTGTCGGTCGTTTTGGTCCGATTAAAAGACCAGGATATATGGGAGGAGGGGGGAAAAATCACTTAATCAGAACGATAAAGATGGATAGAGTAACGGTCGATTTCATAAGCACAGGAACTTGGGTCCCTCCGAATGGTATATACAAGGATTAAGATTGAATCGCAAGAGACGCTAATTACCGCCGAGGTGAAATTAAATAGATTTTTTGAGATCTGGTCTTGTACCTTTTCTATATCGAACTGAGGTGCAATTCGATGAACATCGGCGTATCAATAGCAATTATGGGCCATTTCGTCGAATTACCGGATAGTAGTGATTAACGCTCGATCGATGATTCTCGAATGGAAGTTGATCGATCGAACTGAGATACCTACTAGATGATTATTTGGTATCGCATTTTTCATCCCTTCTATTGGGCGAATTATATTATCAGCTGATCGTCGTGGAAATTAACTGGACGCTTTCATTAACTTTCCTTTCGAACTGTAATTATTTGGAGTATTATTTAAGGCAGGTCTGGCCAAACATTCACCCGTGGGGCTACATAAACAATAACACCAGCCCCCACCACTCGCTTGTATTGTGTTGCCATTCTCGGGCAGAAGGTGCGCGCGCATGCTGTGACTGCCGCACTTCCAACATATAGTCATTATGTCAACGTGTGTTGCCAAGATCCGATGAGTACGGACTTTGGGAGTGCCGAAAATGGGAACAGTCAGCATGCGCGCGCACCTCCTGCCCGATGATGACAACACAACACAAGCGAGTGGTGGGGGCTGGTGTTAATGTTTATGTCAGGCCTGGCTTGTGTTGTGTTGTCATCCTTGGGTAGAAGATGCGCGCGCATACTGACCCCACTTTCGGCTCTCCCAAACTCCCTAGTCATCGGATCATGGCAACACACGTTGACATAGTGACTATGTGCTGGAAGTGGGGCAGTCACACCATGCGCGCGCACCTTTTGCCCGAGAATGGCAACACAACACAAGCGAGTGGTGGGGGCTGGTGTTATTGTTTATATACACCCACATGCGAATTTTTGGTCAGGCCTGGTTTATGGGGTTCCGCGGGCGAATGTTTGGGCAGACCTGATTGAGGGGATTATCTACTTACATCTGTGTGGGGAAAAACGTAATATGGATTTCAAGAATTGCTTTTCGGTGAAAATTCTTTTATTAGGAAAGATGTTAGGTACATTGGAAAAGGCATACTTTTGTCTATAAAACGTCAAATTTCCATTAAAAGATTCGAAGAAGAAATGGCATGGTAGCTGTTTCCATACGACGATTTAAAAAAAAACACCAGTAGAGATTATCATCTCTTATCAGAAACACAAATGGAAAAATTATTCTTAACATAGGCAAAAAAAAAACTATTACCTGTAGTAGTCGATTTTCGGTTTCTCAATTTTTCGCAAAATGGCGGACATTTAAACATAGAAGACGACTTTATGACTGGAAATGTATACTCCTTACATCTATAAAAAAAAACTAGGATGTTTAAACAAAATTCTACGACAAAACCTAAATAATTATATCAAGAATCCCTGCGCTCAATTTCACATAAATCAGTCACTTAGTGTTTGAGGTATAATGGTTTCCGTTTTTAAAAACATCAATTTGAGAAAAACACTTTTAAGGTTTTACCTGCGCGCAAGGGACCGTTCGATTAGGTGTCTATTGCTAGGTAACTTTTGCATAAGATTTTCAGGGAATGTAGTTTACAGGTAATACCATTGAATTTAAATATTTTGGCAAAATTGGGTTTTTTTACCCATCTGGGTGTATGTTGCCCCAATGAAGAATGCAATCGCTGTTGGCACAAAATGCTATTACTTTCGTCTTTCACTATTTTATTATTACCGAGAAACTTTTCATTCATTCACGTGTGTTCTTCTGGTATTCGATACTTACAACCAGCAGGTGTAGGTACCAGACTTGGGCAAAATGTAATCTAATAAAAAATCCAAATCACAATTAGAATGTATTTGCATTGTAATTGCAAGACGATTACAATTACATTGTAATTACCTATACTAAATTTACAATAAAAAATACAGTGTAATTGTAAAATTACAATGTAATTGTAATTGCAATTTAGATTTTGTAATTAGATTACATTTCGCCCAACAATCAGTAGGTGTAGGTACCCCGTGAATGCTCGTAGTTTAGACCAGACGACGAACATTGAACGAATCTCTGACAAGATCATCTCACTGAAATCACTGAAAATTGAACTAGTTATTTAACGTGGTAACTGGGTGAAACGGCGTTTTGATCATAAATGCCCATCTAGGCATAATTCAGAATAAGTGAAAAGTACATAATATGACAATAATTTTTCTGTAATAAATTGTATTACAAGCCATTAGCGACCATTGTTATATTAAGTATTATACCAGTTAGATTACTTAGTCTACTTAACCTAACTGTTGAATCGAGTGTTTTTATATAGATGAACTAAGTATAATCAATAGCTTTACTAACCTACTAGTACATATTTTAGGACGAATTTCTATGCTCATTTATGTTTCATGTTAAAAAACAAAAATGAACTTTATTTGAATATATGCAAGCATAGACAGATAATCGTTTGATTCTATTGATTCGAAGGTCTTGCGACGAGTTATAGTCGGTAGTATATCTATCTTTATTTTGTGTAACACGTGACCCTACACGTTTAGCGTGGTCTAGGTTCACGCTGGAATCGACGGACAAGAAAAATAGGCGATGAGAACGAGTGATAGAATAAAGTCATGCGGCTGTCTGCGGTCAGCAGTATCAGCATTGTTATCCGTGATTTATGAAGAATAGAATTATTACAGTTTTCACGTTACAAGAGTACTTGTGATTAAGTTGTACGTTTAGGTTAACACAATCTCGGTCGTATTATTTAGAATCGAATGCAAATGTTCACGCTGTCCGGAAACTTTGAAACTAATACATACACATATACAGGGTGAGGCATTTAAATCGATCCCCATGAATAATTTCGAAACCGTTCATGATACCAAAAAATGTTTTAAATAAAAGTTGAATGGTTTCGAAGGGCAAATAACACTATTCAACAAATTTTAACTTTTTTCGTTTTTGCAATTGTCAATTCTGCAAAGGTAAACACGAATCTGCAAACCGTTTCTTTCCAGTAGGTCCCGTTTTTTGAACAAATCAAATTTGAAAAAAATTGCAAATTTTCAACTTTGGAGCTGTGTGCTGTTTTTACAGTAATGGTTATTCAGTTTCTTTTTACACGAGTTTATTCTTTGGATTCTTGCGAACAAAATGATATAAATTGTTATTAGATTATAGACATCTAAATATGTTTAAATAATGTTCAAAGTGAAAAGCACACCGAAAATGCACCACTTTTTGCTGATATTCTTTAATTTATTTCAAAAACTAAAGGTCTAGGAGAAAATTTAACCATAGGATGCGATAGAGCAGACCTTTCAGCTCGGGAAAGTGTCAAAATATGCGTTGGTTTAAATAGGAAAGCGAAATAGTTCAGCAAAACACGCGGCGGCGACAGCGGTACTCAATGACGGCGGTCGCCTTACCTGCCGCTCAGCGTAACGGAAGCGCTAGGCGCACATGGAAACCACTGTCGGCAGAAGAAAATGGTGGCCATTTATATTTCTGTGGGCTTTTATCTGAAAGAAGTTTTTTTGTTTCGATTTAAGACACTGGTTAGCACGTATTTCTAACTTTTTCATGACACTAGGAAAGTCTCTACAGTTATGGTATAATTTACGATTCTGAATGTATCATACCTCGTATTTAGATATTATTCCAATTAAAGCTTTCGTCTCTTTACTTATTCAACGACCCTCGTAAGAACTGGTGCATGGGTAATTCGCGATGCATTTCATAACGCTGCCCAGCATTATAGTGACACAACCAAAAAAAAAAATTCAAATTTGTGTTTATCGAATACAAGGTCTACATTATGTTTCTATTTTTATCATATAGAACGGCATAATTTACAATTCCATCAATTTTGCGCCAGAGGGCAGTTGCGTCGCCATCAACCTGACCTTAAGTATGCAATTGTAAATTTTAAAAAGTCTCCTTTAAAATTTATATTTTCTTAGTTGTGCCATTAGCAATGCCCAGCAGCGATATACCCTTAGCTGTATATATCTGTTCATAGCGTGTTTCGTTTTTGTTCCAGTCTTCCACGGTCCCAAAGATGTTTTAACGAGAGAAGACCACTCGGTAATGATTTACAGAGTTCAAGTGCGATGTTTCGAGTTTTTCGAGTCGACGAACGGACAATAGTTGCGCGAGTGTCTATCGTTATTGCGGTTTCCGTTTCGACCTGCCGGTGATCGAGCGCACGGGGAAGTGAGATTGTAAAAAGAAAAGTAAAAAAAAAAAGCAAACGAAAAAGCAGGTACGAAAGAAGGGACCAAGAAGAGGGAGTGTCACAACGCGTGTGAAATGGATGGTACGCCAAAGAATAGCGAAGCAGCAGTGTTAATATATGGATGCCCATGGGTGGAACTTGGCCGAAATGTGCCAGCGCTACCATCACGCTGTACCGTCAGCCCAAAATTCATCGCCAGCTAGGGATCCCTCCGCCGCCATCGTGCAAGGCTTGTCAACGGCTACGCACATTGAACAGGCTGGCTCCTCTTATCCCCACTACACGTGAGTATTAACACACTTCTCAACGATATCTCGTAAATTCGATGAATGAAACTACTTTATCAGAATGTTGAAATACATTTGCCTGTAAAGGATCATCTTTTAAAACATTTTGAGATTAATAATGTATTTATTATATAACAACAAAACAGCTGTTGAAATTGCAATTATATTTATTGTTCTTAAAATTTTTGTAAAAATAATTACTTATTCTTATCGTGTTTTAAAAAAAATTATTTATGAAGTGCAAAACATGTTTAAGGGTCCAGTAAAAGACCGCCATATTATTGTAATATTGTTTATAAGAATTGTACTTACTAATATTTGCTTGATACGCTAAACTAAAAATATGGGATATTAAAAGTGCAACTACACTTCATTTATAAACATTAAATAATTTTTAAATTTATAATTTACTTTTCTTGCCTTATGGTCATTCGCTGATGTGCAGGTAATTACTGGCTGGTTTATCCTAGGTAGTATACCGTTCTTCAAAATTTAACCTTTATCCGTCTGTTGTGCCAATCAATATGACATATTTTTCTCGTAAGAAATGATGTTATTCTGTATGTCTAGGTAAATTTGCAAATTTAACTATTTATCTCTTCGTTATAGTAATTATTTTACCGTTCTGTCAATTTAACACCGAGAGACAAATTAAGTTGGGAAAATAAGGGACGGATGAGGGTTAATGAATATGTAAATACTGCCAATACGTACATTTGATATTTTATATTTTAGTTTGATTCGATTTTTATGTTTTATTTTTTCGAGACATCAAGGTGTCCTTGAGTTTTTCCAAGGTCATTGCATCCTTTGTTTTAAAACCATCATGCTATAGGTCGCTGAGTTCGTCCTTCCATTGACAAAAATGTGGTATTCCAAAAAAAGATGCATTGACCTTGAAAAAATGGAATATTACCTCGATATCTAAAAAAAAATAAAATACAAAAAAATAAAATTGTATCCATCCGATGCGTCCCTTAACACTAGAACTACCAGTCTCGAATGTGCACTAAATTAAATTGTACAATATCGTAATATACATATGATATAATATATGTATAATAGAATCCAGCATACTATAGTGTAATATAAAATTCAAAGGAAATTAAAAGTGAACATAGATTCCGCTAAAAGCACAGTTGTAGCTTCAGTAATGCTCAAATAAGTAATTTGCAATCCATCATTTTGACGGGTTTGGTAGTTTTAGTATTAAAATACTACAGAATTCATTAAAACGTTTTCTGACATAATCAATATGTAACGAGTTATTTTAAATAGTAGTTCTTATTGACTCACCCCGTAGTTTCGAAATGTTACACTTCAAGAAAGTACAATAAAAAAAATCTATTTTTCTGACTCCTTCAATTGAGAATACGCCCTTAAACACACAAGTGAAAATACAAACAAAACTACACCAGTAAACTATTAAAAAATCAATTAATCTGTCGCCTCGAAGAAGTGTATTTCTCGCTCATTTTATTGATTCCTAAATTACAAGAGAATGGCCGCGGATCGGGCATCAGAAATTCACATAAAGTTAAAAAATCCCCCTCTGGTTGCGATGCTTTCGCACGTGCCCGGTCCGTGCGTGTAGCAATCTTATCGCGACCGAATACGTTCTCAATTGTATTATATATATTAATAACGATCGAATACAGCGAATTAGGGATAAGTATACGATTCCGCGGCCAGGCCCCCGTAATCCTGTTATTAGCGCAGCGATTAGGGGAAGATGATCCCCGGGCAAATTGCAGGGGCGTGTACCACGGTGTTTGGTTAACGTAATCGGCAATCACTATCGTTGATCCGTGCAACTCGGGACGGAGCCATGGATCGAGGATACGCGTTCGCTCGTAAAACCCTCGCGGGATCCGCCACGGAATTTCCCTTCTTCGTCGAGAATTTTCTCGTGTACCTATGTGTGTACATACTCGGTGGACCAGACACGGCTCGCGGATTCCCTTGTGTCCTCCAGACATTCGTGAGGAGGGTCGATTAAATTGCAGTTTACGCTCGGATTCAATATTTCACTATTATTACGTGGAATTGGCGTAACCGAACGGAAGAAAAGTTTCTTCTTTGAACCCGCCCGTGAACCATGGGATATTCCGCACCCCCTACGCAATACATACGACGGATATATCTCATCTCTTTTTAACCCTTTTATTCCCAATTATTTTACAATTACACGAGAAATACTGTTTTTGTATTTTTGTCCACGTTACACGACATACAAATGATTCACAAGAACATATGGTAAATATTTACAATAAGGTAGTCTCCTCCGATTTCGATAATTTTTCAATATTTTCTCAATTGGTAATCTAAATGATGATCTTGACAATACATTAAAAAAGTCATCGAAATCGGAGGTGGGTCTCTTATTGTAAATATTTACCGAACATTCTAACATGTCATGAACATCTCCTTTACTTACCTTCTCCTTTACAAACTTTATTATTTTTTGGGACGATCACATTTACGTGCTCAGTGTACAAAACTCAGCCCTCTAGATTTCCAGATTTCGTGTCCCCATCAGTAGCAAGTAGCAAATACTACATTGAAGGGTAGGTGGTTTTGGGTGTACGCTAGCTAAGACACAAAAAGAACTGTTTCCGTTCGGAAAAATACTGAAACCGATTAAATTACCGAAGCGTGTCATGAATTAAACACTCCCATTAAACATTCATGCTTTCATAGTATTTTTAAGCTTGCCTTCTCCGAATGTGATGTAAAATGGTCACGGTTCAATAAATTTGACACTATCAAAGATCATTGAAATACTTCTCATTTCATACACGTTTCTCATATTACCCATAGTATTACTTCCTGCACATGCTTGGCCACTAGTTTACTTCATTACTAACGGACTTTAGCACTTTCTTCACGAGCTATTACGATTGGCGATATTACGTGATAAGCAATATTGGATGCAGTTACCCTATTATTGTACACTGTAACTTTATATAATTATATACCTCGCGCTGCGATTGGTAGCCAACGTCACCGCGGGAACTCGGTCGACAGACTCGCGCTCTGATTGATCGGGGTTTTTGTTAATATCTTGTTAACAAAGCCTTGGATAAAATTTTTGCTAAGAAAAAACATGTTTCAAATCACCTTACGAGTCTCCCATTTCCTGGTCTAACAAAATTTCTGTTGTATATGTATATAGTATATATAAAAAAAGACAAGACAAGCAAAAATCCGGATCTTGAAAAAAATGCATATTGTAAAATGTAATATTGCCTACCTGAAAAATATTGATTAATTCGTGTATTCTGTACGCTTGTAAAGTCACATTTGTATGTGTGTTCATAATTTTTACCGTATATATATATACACTTTTTTCAAGATCCGGATTTTTGCTTGTCTTGTCTTTTTTCTAATCACGAATAGAAATCTTTAGATTTTCACCACTTTGAACTTGCCGTGTATGATACATCAACTAGTGTTCAATTGAGAATAGTTTGAATTTGAATAGGCGATATTAAGTGTTGCTTACTCTACACCTGGATAGTTTTTCGTTAGTATTCATAAGATTTCTATAGCTGATCGTATCTCAAAAAATAATATGTAATAATATAGATATTTTTACATTGTGTTTCTCTATTTATATAATAAAGAAACTTTTTGAACATAATCCCATTAATACTAGACCTACCAGCAGTGAATGTATACTAAATTAACATGTAAAATTTATTAATATACGTAATAAATAATACAATCTAGCGTGATACAGTTCCATATAAAATGTATACTAAATCAGAAGTCAACAATAAAATCCACAAAAAGCGTTATTATAACTTCAATAATTGTAAAATAAGAAACGTGCAATCTGTCATTTTGACAGGTTTGCTAGTTCTAGTGTTAAAAAAAAAGGTTGGTAAAAAGTCTCCAAGGCATTCGTATAATCAGAAATAGAAGACACACATATAAATATAACTTTAAAAGCTCGTGGATGCATGAATTAATCAATATTATTCAGGTAGACAATATTGTATGCACATTCTCCAGATCCAAACATTTGCCTATCTCTTCTTTTTCCCAATCGCGATTGAAAATCTTCAGATTTCAACCAGTTCTAACTTGCCGTACATTAAATACAAACAATTTCTTTTTTATCCAAGATTAATTTAGACAGAAAAATATCAATCACTCTCGAAATGAGAACGATTCAAATTTGGGTAAACGATATTAGGTACGCTTATCCTACTAACGGCTAACGGCGCGTTGATGTAATGCAGAAACGAGGACGAAGTGTAAATAAAACTGTTCAGAGATTGACTTTTCAACTGTTGATGGGGCTTCCTGGCGACGAAAATCATCTTCATTAAAATTGTTCCGGTCGGTTCCATCCGGTGCTCGCGGCCGTCGCATGGATCGCGAACCATGTCACGATATTCAGTCACATGTCCCGGCGAGTAACTCTCGTAGCCCAGATACAAAGTGTCGACAAATGATGTATACTTCTCATCGTGCTGTCCTTCCACACTTGACGCGTTTCACTGATCGCCCACGGCTCCTCCTTCCCTATAAAAGCTTATTCCACGGTTTCGATTCAGTTAATCGTGATTTGGTACTCTGATTCACATCTAAAAGGATACAGCTACGAATTGTGAATTTTATATCATGAAGATAACGTACTCGATTATGACTCATGACACGAACTTTTCAGAAGCAAATTTAATTAACTGAGTTTTTAATATATTTCTCCACTTTAATTCTTTTGATAGATTCGCGTGTATTTTGAAGTTCGTAACGCGAAAGCTTCTTCTTGAATAATTCACTAATAATTAATATCTATTCCTGTTTTTATACTTTCTAATATTTTATTTGACCCTTTAACGTCCAGTGTTGCATCGGCGTAACATTCATTTTAAAAGTGCGTTTAATTCCTTCGTTGGTTAATATCTAATTTTTGTCAGCAAGGATTCGTAGTTTCACTGATATGAAGTTAATCTCCGCGTTTTCAGTTTAGAAATTCCAATACCTCC